AGATGGAAAAGGAGAGCTTAAGGAATGGGACCGCGTTTACGACTATGCTTACTACAATGATTTGGGAGATCCGGACGAGGGTACGAAGTATGCCCGCCCAGTTCTTGGTGGGTCTTCTGAGTACCCTTATCCTCGTAGGGGAAGAACAGGCCGAGCAGCAACGGAATCAGGTCATTATATTGCTGAGAATCTTACAGTGAAAACAGAAGTCAGGATTTTATACTGTTTGATTGTGTTATTTATATTTCTTGTCATTTCTAAAGTTGTTCTATGATCTTATCATCATAAGCAGATCCCAACAGTGAGAGCAGGCTGCCACTTCTGACGAGCTTAAACATCTATGTTCCGAGAGATGAACGATTTGGTCACCTGAGGATGGCTGACTTCCTTGGTTATGCACTGAAACTCGTAGCTCAAGTTGTTAAACCTGGACTGGAAGGATTATTTGACAGCACCCCAAATGAGTTTGACTCTTTTGATGATGTGTTTAAAATCTATGAGGGAGGTATTGAGCTGCCTCACGGTTCCCTGGTAGATAATATTAGGGAAAAAATCCCCCTGCAGATGCTCAAGGAAATTTTCCGAACCGATGGGGAAAATCTTTTCGAATTTCCAATGCCTCAAGTGATTCAAGGTTTGAACTAAAACACTTAACCTCGCTGTTTGGACTATATTTACATACATATTCACTTATATCTCCATGGAAACTTAAGTTGTGATGTGTTATACAGGGAATAAGACTGGCTGGAGGACTGATGAAGAATTTGGCAGAGAAATGCTGGCTGGATTAAACCCTGTTGTCATTCGTCGCCTTGAGGTGCATGAAGTTTCATATTTATCTCTCTGCCGATTCAGAAGTACAGAGAAGAAATTTGGGAGTTAATGTATTTCATATCTTCTTGTTCTTTATGTCTAATAATCATTGATTGGAACGCAGGAATTCCCCCCGAAAAGCAAGCTAGACAGCGAGAAATATGGTGATCAAAATAGTAAAATAACCGAGGAGGACATAAAGAATAATCTGGAGGGACTGACCACAGATGAGGTAATGGTATCTAGATTAGTTTCTTTGACAATTCAGTTTACTATAAGATTGAGGATGCTTCGCAGATGAAACCAGTGAATTTAGTCACCCCAAACAAGCCATTGTAGCTAAAATGGTTTCTCTTGCATAGGCAATCAAGAAAAACAGGATGTTCATATTAGATCACCATGATGCACTAATGCCATACCTGAGGAAGATAAACACTCCTTCAAAAAATACTTATGCCACAAGGACTTTGCTTTTCTTGAAAGATGATGGAACTTTGAAACCACTTGCAATTGAGTTAAGCTTGCCCCATGAAGAAGGAGATGAATTTGGAGCCATTAGCAAAGTCTACACCCCTGCTGAACATGGTGTTGAAGGCCCCATTTGGCAGCTGGCTAAAGCTTACGTGGGAGTAAATGACTCCGGCTATCATCAGCTTATCAGCCACTGGTACAAAGAAAAACCATCTATCAGAAGGAAAAATATTGATGCAGTTGATTAGTTCATTTCTGTTCCTAAATTATCTTTTTTCGATAACAGGTTACATACACATGCTGCAATTGAACCATTTGTGATTGCAACAAATAGACACCTCAGTGTGCTTCATCCAATATATGAACTTTTAAAACCTCACTTCCGGGACACAATGAACATAAATGCTCTCGCTAGGCAGGTGCTCATCAATGCTGGTGGAGTCCTGGAATTAACCGTTTATCCTTCGAAGTATGCCTTGGAAATGTCAGCATCACTTTACAAAAGCTGGGATTTCACCGAGCAAGCACTTCCTGAAGATCTGAAGAAGAGGTACTACATTCTAGTTTTTTAGTAAAGGCTAATTCATAGCTGTTCATAATTTGTTGGAACTTGAAATTAAACAACATAGAGAATTTTAAGCTGATAAACACTCCAGGGACTATAGAACTTGAACTCTGATAAATGCTGTGATGATGGTTTATTATATTTCCAATGACATGCTACCTTGAATTATTCAGAGGAGTGGCAGTTGAAGATCCAAGTTCTCCACATGGTGTCCGCCTACTGATAGAAGATTACCCATATGCTGTCGATGGGCTTGAGATATGGTCCGCAATCAAAGAATGGGTCAGAGACTACTGCTCTTTCTACTACAAAACTGATGATAGAGTTCAGAAGGACCATGAAATCCAACTGTGGTGGAAGGAAGTGAGAGAGGTAGGGCATGGTGACCTAAAAGATGCACCCTGGTGGCCTAAGATGCAGACTCGTGAAGAACTAATAGACTCATGCACCATAATCATATGGGTGGCATCAGCCCTCCATGCAGCTATTAACTTTGGGCAATATCCTTTTGGAGGTTTCCTTCCGAATCGTCCAAGCATGAGCCGTAGGTTGATGCCCGAGAAAGGCTCTGCCGAGTATGAGGAGCTCAAGTCGAACCCTGATAAGGCTTTCTTAAAAACAATCACTTCCCAGTACCAAACACTTCTTGGAATTTCTCTTATAGAAATTCTGTCAAGGCATACATCAGATGAAGTGTATCTTGGGCAGCGAGACACTCTTGAATGGACCACAGACAGTAAACCGATGGAGGCCTTGGATAAATTTAGAAAGGAACTGGCAGACATTGAGAAAAGGATTTTTGATAGGAACAGAGATGATAAATTGAAGAATCGCTTTGGCCCAGTCAAGATGCCATACACTTTGTTGGTTCCTACCAGTAAAGCTGGACTCACTGGAATGGGCATTCCTAACAGTGTTTCCATCTAAATCTACTCCTGAAGACAACCCGTATCGCTTTAATATCATTTGTTGTTATGGAGGAACTTGAGTAAAAAGTTTTAGCTTTTTCAATCATTAATATCTTTATTTCCTATTAGATGCTTTGGGGCACATATGCTTGATGTAATAAGCTTCATAAATAATGCAGAGTAAAAGTTATTTAGTCCCCTGATTGGCACTGAATTAACTTAAATATTGCGCATGTTGTGATTGGCTAATTTGCAGATAGATAAGTGTTTGTGCTTCCGATGGCTTGTTTCACCAGAAGCAAATTCAAGCATGCCAAACAGAGGTTACTAGGAAATACATTTCTCGCTTCAGGAGTTCAAAATGCTGGCACACTCTCTTTCTAAGAGAGAAGCTACTAGATTAATGATTTCCTTGGGGAAAACTTGCTCTTGTTATTGCTACTATTGTGAAGAAGTGATCCTTGGAATCAGAATCGTTTCCCCCTTAACTTGATGAATGATGCACCAAAACTATCTTCTGGAAAAGCCTTTCAGAGGTACGCGAGCTTGTATTTTTGGTCACGAAGCAGACTTAAGTTCTATTTCTGAGTTGCTTGCCATGCTGTTTTATTTGCTGTTACAAAGAACCAGCATTCTGCTTAATTTTAAAGGAAATGTACTGACAAATGAGTTCCAGTCCTTCCCCTGCCAGGCCAAGTAAGATAAAAATGGGAAGGGAGAGATCTTGCTGATTGAGCCTCCTATTACAACTTATAATCTATGTTATTGTTTCCCTTCTATTTCTGTTATTGATGAAAGTCATCCCTCAAAGAGTCTGTTTTCTGCTAAATTGATCTGACGAATGGCAGACATGCTTAACTAGCTTGCTGTCTGACATGGAATTCAAAACCAGAAAACCGAGTCTCTAAGCAAACCGAAAAGAATCTGATTATGTTTCTAATAGCATAATTGAATGAAAGTTTTTTTCCTTCTTCAGTGGCAAATGTCTTCCTGAGTGTAATGTAGAACCATGACAGTGAAAGTCCGAGTAATATGAACAATCAACTAAACTTCGTCAAAATGTTTTGTGAGTAGAAATTAGAACACCATGCCTCTCAACATTGAACCATGGAAAAACATGGGACATTTAATCCTAAGTTTTTGATGCATCAGCATCCAAAAAGGTAAAGCAATACAAGATTAAAAATTACTTGTCCTTAACAAGGGGTAAAATCCGCTGAGGTCGGCAGTCGACTTCAACATTTGAGCAAGGTAAAGATGCTTCCACACATCCCATTGAAATATCATACTCGTAAGGAACTCTTATCTTTCGGCAAAGTAAAATAGATTTTGTTTCCTTGAATTCCTGAGTCTTTCACCGAGGGTGAAACAATCTGACCGAAGGCACCTATGAAAAATGCATGATTCTTCATTCTATTTAACCTGATCCACGTTTTCTTCTCCAAATCCAACTTGAGAACACTGCTTTTTCATGAGTTATATACTGATCAACACGAAAGAGCTCGCCACAAGTTTCGACCAAATACACTTCACAGCAAGATCCGCCTCTCAAACTAGAATCCTCTCCGTCAACTTCCAAATTCGAAAACGTAATGCCCCAGTTGCTAATCTTAACTAGAAGAATTTTCCGAAGTTTACATGTAAACCTCCCCATTATAAGTGCCAACGCATTATAGTGTATGTGCTAGTCCTACATCCTCAGCAATAGGAAGCAACAAGTCGTGTTTAGTCCATTCAATATCCCCAGGCGTACAAAACATAAAATAGTGGATATGATTTCGAATGATGCCAAAGAACACAGTTATGCAGTTCGGATCATCAGGAGGCATTGCGAGTAAACAACACTTGAAAGCTCGATTTTCGCGGCGGTAGTTGAATCTTTCACATAGAGATGGAACTCAACAGAAAACAATCATCTCTATTTTTATGAACTAGAACTAACCAGCCGTGCGAACATGTGGCTATCTGCATATCTTGCATCTCATGAGGAATGTTTTTAACCTGATCATAACTACCTTCTATCATGCTATACAGAGTCTGGCTTTGTCCATGCTCTCCGTGAAAGCAAACAAGCCATGGATGTGGTCCCAAGGCAGGTGGCATATGCAGCTCAGGTTGTTGCTTTTCTTCTCCTCTATTAGCTTCCATTGAACTTGACGCGGTAAAAGAAAAACCAAGCAGGTGCATTGCACCCGGATCTTTTAGCAGGTTTAGGTAACAGGCCGTAGAGATTTCTACTTTTGCATGTCCTGGCCCATGGCCTGTTACAACCCAGCACTTCTGGGCCAGAAATAGAATTTGCTCATTATAAAAATGGGCTTTACGGCTCCCATATCAATTTTCCTCTCTCTCTTTTTCTTGCTCAACCAAACAAGCAATACCTACAAGGGTTTAAGGCCTAAACTGAAGGGATTTGCTCTCTCGTTGTCTCCTTCCAACTAGAACCCTCAGTTCCAATGAAGGTTTTTGCTCACTTCTAACTAATGTCCTTTTCTCCCTCTAAAAATGGCAAAAACACCAATCTCTCTCCTCCTCTTAAGACGCCTAACTCTCACTACCCAAAACCCTAAACCCCCACCACTATCTCTCCTCCTCTTTAACAACCTTTACCTGAAACCCTACTCAACCACCAAAAATGCTAAGCCCTTGACAGAGCAACCAAAACCCAGCTCTCTGTCTGGTCGAAAGAGCTTTGTCTTTGATCAAATTGATGCCACTGAACGTGAACGCGCTGAAAAGCTCGAAACCCTCCAAAAAATCCGTGCTTGGCGCCAATCCAAAGACACCCCACAAGAACAGCAACAAGAAACAGTTGCTGCCCAAAACCCAGAACTTGATGGGACTCAAAAAACAGAAATGATTGACTCTCAAGATGAAAAACTGGAATCTGGGCTCCGTGATAATGGTGATTCTATTGTTGTTTTTGAAGAGTCTGGTTTGGTTGAGTTGAAGAGGAAGGAAGTGGAGTTGGTGCATCCATGGCCGGAGTGGATAGAGTTGATGGAGAGGTTGGTGCAACAGCATTATTTTGACCCTAGTAGGAAAGTTGCGGACAATATGGTAGAAAGTTGGGGACTTGATGTTTCTGGGGTTGGGAATGAGAGTGATGGTGATGGTGTTGGGATTGATTTTAATAATTTCAGGGCTGTACAGACTGCTTGTATTAATTTTGGCAAAGACCGGTTCGATATCTTCAGGTTCGTGGAATTTATGTTGTTGTTTTAAAGTTGGTTACTTGATTGCTGAAAGTGAATGAAAAATCGTTGTTTAGTTTGCTCCTTTCTCGGTCTGTTGAATTGTATACGATTTTTTCGAGGAAATTTTTTTGTGAGTTTTGTGAGATATTTGATTGTAAATGCAAATTGGTGGGACAGTATAGTACAAGTTAGCTATAATTTGTTAGAAGTTTGAGTTGATGGTGGTCTGTGCTTCCCTTTGTGATATTTCTTGCTACGATTAGTTCATCGAAGAACGAATGGGAGAAGATGGTTGAAATTGATTTTGTGAACTGTAAAATAGAACCTGTAGGAATCTACTGATATATACACAGTACCGTACATTCTTTGCTAAACTAAGCTTTTGGCTTGTTGTTCAATTTTTCTGTTTTCTCAAATTGAAATAGCACAAAGTGTGACATTGTTTTCCTGAATCTGAGAGTTGTAGCAACGAATTAATTTTTTTATATATACATATAGCATGCTTATTACAATAATGAAATGATTAAGAGGTTGATTTTGTGGATTTCAAGTGTTTTCAGACTGCTACTCTTAGTTTTGGAAAAGATCAGTTGGATACCATGAGTTTGGTTGGTAGATTTCATATTGTTGTTATAATAGTTGCTAACTTGGTTGCTGAAATGAAGTAAAGAGCATTTATTTGTTTTGTTCTTTGTGTGTGTCTGGGAATGTATATGAGTTTTTTTTTTTTTAAAGTGTTATGGGATATGGATTATATGTATATAAAATTTGATAGGATTAGGAAAATGTGGTTAATTAGATGTTTTGAGGTTTTGTTTGGTTTCTGATTTTCATGCTCATGTTTTCTAATGCTGTTATCAAAATGGATAAAGTATTTAGGTTTGAGGCTGTGCTGAATTCTGCCAGTATTTAGCTCATTCAACAATGGAATTGGACTTTGTAGGTTTGGAATCTGTGGTGAATTCAGCTGTAGTAAGGTTCATGAAATTGGGAATGGAAGAAATAGCTGCTTTTAGCTCTGTGCACTCTCCAGTGTAATACATAGATGGTTCAATCTTTGCTGATAAGCCTTTTGGGCTATATGTTCAATTCTCTGTTTTCCTTGTGTAAACAGTGTCCTGAATCCTAGATGTATGGAACAACATAAGTTCTAAATTTGTATTTTATTTTGTGATGCCTCTTATTAAAATGCACATTTTACTTTTAAGATTCTTTGTCTAGGTTTATTTTCTTGATGTATTCCAAATAATCTTATTTCAGCTATGGTCATTTTTCGTGACTGGTGACGAGAAAGAATTGATTTCAGGTCGTTGTCAAGACAGGATATTCAAATTTTAGTAGGCTATGGATGCCCAAACGTGAACAAGAAGGTTGTTTTCTCTTCAAAGCTTTTGAGGAAGCATGTCCACCTTGATGAAGGGCATGTAAGTGTTACTTTCTTAAGACTTTTTAGTTACCTTTTCATACTTTCCAAAAATGATATACTATCTCATGTGGCTCTTACTTGAATTGCATCTTATGACTTCGACTCTCATTATTTTGTTTTCCTTTGGAATCTCATTCATCAAGACAATTGTTTTTCAGGTTGGGTAAATTTATGATTGCCTAGTAATGGCCATTTTAAACATAACTGCTTTTTTGTTTTTCAGGTTTGTAGTAACTGTCGTTTGAGGAGCTCATGTGAAAGTGGATATCTACTAACAAACAAAGAGGATGAGGCAAGGACTATTGATCTTATGCGAGTTCTTTTAGCTTATGGTTTTGAATCCATAAATGGATCAGTAACCAATAGGTTTCTTCTGAAGCAAAAACCTGTCAGAACTGTTGTTCGTAAGTTACTTCATGAGGTTGCAAAGTTGAGTGCAGTACCAAGAGACCCAAATCTCCCCCCTCCAGTGATTAAAAGGCCTCCAACAAAAGTGAAACAACCTCCTACTTCTCCTAGGAAATGTGTTGGACGTGATGGCATTGATATGAAAAAGGGGGATTGGCTGTGTCCCAAGTATGTTCCTCTTTATGAGTTTATGCTTTGCTCATGGGCTGTTGGTTATTTTTTGTTCTTAATGAAGGGCTGCCAGATACCTTATCTAGGGATGCACATAGGTTTTTTTCTGGAACTTCTGAAAAATTAGTGGACCATTTCTTTTCTGCTGCTCTCTAGGTAATCCTATTATTGTTTTGTTCCTTGTTTTGGTTCAGTTTATGGTTTGACCTAGGTAATCCTATGGGCATCCTTGGAATATCTGTAATTACATGTGGAAGTTTTGCCAGGAAGATGTTAAATGAAATTGTTATGACAAGTTCAAGTGTTTTAAAACCAGAATTACCTAATTTTCTCAACCATAAAGATGAGTTTTAAAATTGTGTTTTAAGGCCATCATTAGCTAATTGTTTCAACTGTAAAGTTATTGTTAAAGTTTAAGTGTTTTATTGCTAAGAATGTGCCTGTATTTTCCCAGATGTGACTTCATGAATTTTGCCAAGAATGCAGTGTGCTTACAATGTGATGCAAAGCGGCCCAAGAGACAGTTGCTTCCAGGGGAATGGGAATGCCCAGAGTAAGTCTTCAACTGCAAATCACTAGTGTATTTTTCCACCTTGCAGTCTCTCACCTCATATTTCCAAATCATGTAGCGTTTATAGTTCTGCTTATTCTATATTATTTCTATACTTCAGAACAATGCAGCTTGTTTGTAAAATATGCTGTGTTTGTGCGGTTTGTTGGTAAAATTTTCAAGTTTTACACTCTATGCTGTGGCAGGTGTAACTTCTTAAATTATAGGAGAAACATGGCTTGTTTCCATTGTGATTGCAAGCGTCCACCAGATGCATTCATGGAAAATAAAATGGAAGAAAGGCAGCATGGTAGCAGAACAAGGTCGGAGAAGATTGTCAGCCACCCAGAAGTTTCCAGTGCCTGTAATTTTGACTTCGATGACAATGAGTCAGATGGGGCTGATGTTGCTGCTTTTGAGCATGCAGATTCTGCAGCTATAGTTGAAGACTTACCTCTGGGGATTCAAGCTCAGGAAGGAAATTCTGGACAGAATACAGATGATTTCAGTGAACCCAGAAGAATTTCAAGGGAATATTCTGTTCCTGAGCGTGATGGATTTGGAAGGGGGTTTGATGATTTTGATGATGAAGATGATATTGATAGTTATGAACTAGATACCCAAAATGATAAACCTGCACGGAAGGCTTCTCGAAACAATTTTTCTGACCAAGGGATTTCTGATTTGGAAGGAGATGGAGGTTCTGATTACAACTTGGGCATACGACTCAGGACAAGTCCTTCTGTTAAGCCATCAAAGCCCAAGCATCACAGAAGAGCTTTCTCTGGCTCTGATGATGAACTGGATATCGATTCAGATGAAGAGCGCTCTGTTCATCCAAAATGGAAATCCAGTCATGTTGCTGGTATTAGAAACAAAAGTGGAGTTCCAGCAGGTCCTTCCAAGGGATTAAGTTTTGGGTCAGATGAAGAACATGAACTTGATTCTGATGTGGATGATGATTTTGGCTCGAGCCATAGGAGACAGAGTAGAAAGGGTTCAGGTAGAAGGAATTTTGAGAGAAATTCTGATTTGAATGATGCTTCCTTTTCTGGTTCAGAATCTGATAACAATCATCGATGTTCTTGGAGAAATAGAACTGGAGGTAACAAATTGGAATCTGGTAGAAGAGGTAACCATTTTAGGGGTCGTGATCATGACTTTGTGAGAGACAATGAGATGAGATCCAAGGGTAAGATGGGTGATAGAAGAAAGTCTTGGGGTGATCATTTTGGTAGATCATCACCTGGTGCCCATGGTAAAAATAGAGGATTTCAGGGCACTGACTGTTCTGGGTGGAAAATGAATGGTGCAGGTTCACAGAATTTTAATGGACCGAAACAAGAAGGATTTAGAAAACGGCAAGGAGGAAGATCAATTGAATACAATACGGACATGGATCCGTGTGAGTTTAGAAATAGCCGACGTGTTATTGAAAGGTAAATCTGAGTTAAAGATGACAAGCATATGTCACATGCTTAGTTTCGCTGCTGAATAGCTTGCAGTTAAGTGAAATTGCTTTGAAGACGAAAAGCATGTGTCGCATCTCAACATGCTTAGTTTCCCTGCTAATAGCTTGCAGCTAGGTAAATCTGAATTAAAGATGACAAGCAGGTGTCACATCTCAACACGCTTAGTTTTGCTGCTAATAGCTTGCAGTTCTGAAACCAAATCGTCATGTTGATTACCTGGGGGAGACTGGCTGAAAGAAAGTTGTGGAAAATGTGAGCATCTTCAAATGTGCTAGTGCTGCTTTTTTATGTATTCGCTGACTGGCACTAGCTCCTCCATCCCCCATGGATAATGCCATGAACGCTGCTTTAGCCTGTAAGTGAGATATGGCGGGTCACCTGCTATAAGATATTTTATTAGCCTGGTAGAGTTGTTGGTAATAAAGAGGGAAAAAAGAGAGAAGAAAACTAATGACTGGCAGAGGTCTATACTTCTTAGCAAATGATCCATTTTATTTTTTTAATTTATCTCAGTTGTATATATTACTAATCTCGATATTGTTGTATTTGTACTAAACATTAATTGTATCTCAATTTTTTCTCCAACAGCATAGAGGTCCATTTTTCCTTTCATATGCGTGCATAATATTTATGGTGGACTTAAAACTTCTCTGTTACCTTTTGTGGGTGATGGTGTTGGCTTTTTGACTATTGCATGGTTTGTCATGCATTATGTGTCAGGGAGTCTTTAGTAGAAATTAGATGGTTTGAAGTGAACATATTAATAATATATTTTAACTTGGCTAGTCTTGCATGGTTTGTTTTAAATATTTTAACTTGAATAAAAAAATCTTTTAAAATAATTTTTTAAATTTCAATACATATTAATAAAGGATGGCATATCCAAGGCAAGATTCAGTACCAAACATCATCAGCAAACTATCCATAAAAGAATCAATAGCATTACTTGTAGTTTCACAGCAATAATAGGAGTAGCTATGCTATAGATTTGAGGCTAAACCAGGTCTTGTCAAGAGAAACAGTTTAATATGTCGGTGATATAATTCATTCCTGTTGCTGGGTAGAGAAATAGTACAAACACTTAACATTGCAGCCTTTCACTTTTTGTGCCTATCACTTTGTTCCTAACAGTATGGGACTGGTGGAGATATGGGACAACAATCTGTAGCTGGTGAAAACATTGCTGCAGGCCAGCAGTGATGGTCATTGGATCTTGGTGGGATGATTATTTAGTTAAATTTTTGTAACTATACTTCAATTATTTTTTAAAACTTTTTGAACCATATAAAATAATTTCTATACTTAAAATTGTTTTTGAATCGTTTTAAAAAATAATATTTTTAGCTAAAAATATTTTAAAATGCAACCTCTTTCATCCCATGCAATTACTCATTAAATTTATACCTCTTCATGTGTATTATTTTTTATTTTATTTTCGTGTCTTGAACAGTAACATCTACAACAGTATAATTACGCATGCTCTATTGCCTGGTTTAGTATATGTAGGAAAAACCTGTTCAAAAACCCTTTTACACGAGTTGAAAGATAAGAGTGGAGAAGGTCATAAGCTTGTACACCTGCTTTAGTGGCTCCATTGCAGTTCATGCCCAGTTATCTATATTGACATTGAGTACGAGTCAGAATTTTAGTCGGAAGTAACGACTTTCATGTTGGTGATTTCATTCGTTGCTGGTATGTTTATGACGAAGATAAAAGGATCTTAAACTTGATCATGGAAAAGGTAGCATGCAAATTCTTTCCCATCAGAAATTTCAAACTTACATAATGGTTAAAAGAATGCAACAGCAAAATAAATAAAAAAAATATGCAAGAGGTTTTTCAAAATTATTTTCTGTAGCCTGACACGAAGGATACTGGGTCTCATGGCCAACCGGATGGAACTGATGAAATTGCAGAACAAGATGGGGAGAGACTTAGCTAGACCAAGTATGCAGACCAAGAACAATTTGATAAATTGAGAATTAATGTTTATTACACTATTTATTGAGATTAAGATGTATTAAATTGAGTATTTAACAAAATAATTTACCTTTCAGCTGCCTCTCAAAAAACATGCTTCGTGGATTTATATTTGGCACTGAAAATTATAGGACTCGTGAATTTATACTGGGCACCAAAAAGAAACAGCTCAAAACTTGGACAAGAAATAGATTGAAACAGAAAAAACTGATGATCTCCAAAACCAAGCATAGAGCCTTCAAAATTTAAGCATTTAAGAGTCAAAACTTGGATATAAGAGAGACTTAGCTAGACAATACAGAAGAAAAATATGCAATCCTCATTTGTCTTCTATGATTCAGTTCCTTGATCTACCACCCCTTCCATAACCACGGCCACGACCTCTTCCACCTCTTCCACCATGACCACCTTTCCCTCCATGACCTTTACCTCCACCTAGAAAGTTGTCAGATTTTATTTTCATGTCCTCAGGCAGTGGAAGTATGTGATCCACACACTTCCGAAAGCTGAAATCATCCACAGACTCATCATCCCTAATTAGGAAGAAGCACCGACTCTTGAACATTGGATGAAACCGAACTTGGAAAGTTTGGATCCCCCCACCAATCTTTTTGTCAGGCTCTGTATGACCTCTCTTAAGCAACTCCAGTAGCACCATTTGTTCATACTTGTTAACATTAAGATTTGGAGGCCAGTAATGGAGCAAATTGTAGAAATAATCAAACATCTCCACTGCTGACGCAAAACTCTTAGGACCTAAGCTGACCGGACCTGAATTCTCCTTCTCTTTCTTCTCCTCTCCCTCTCCTGTCCCCTCGTAGAAATAATCAAACATCTCCACTGCTGACGCAAAACTCTTAGGACCTAAGCTGACCGGACCTGGTTGCTCCTCCTCTTTCTTCTCCTCTCCCTCTCCTGTCCCCTCTCCTTCAAGCTTCTCCGGTTGCTCCTCCTCTTTCTTCTCCTCTCCCTCTCCTGTCCCCTCTCCTTCAAGCTTCTCCAGTCGCTCCTCCTCCACAGATTTATCCACCTTCTGCTTCTTTGCTACATCCTCATTATCCTCCTCTTCTCCCTCTCTAGCTCGCTTAGCACCATTTGCTGCCACATCCTCCACCATATCCATTTCCTCAGTAGCTGTATCAGCTCTCTCCAGGTTGGTCTCAATGGCTTCGGCTTCTATCTCCTCTGCCATCAGTAAAACAGCCCAACAGCTCCTATTTCATAACCAGAATTTTGAGTTAGTTTCCAGCAAGGAATAACACAAAACATTAACAAACAAACCAAAAGACACCCTACTAATCATACATCAAAGCAATCATACATAAACAGAACATAGTTAATCATCTCTTATTCTATCCTAAAAACTGAACTCATAAAACTAACAATAAGTAATGTCAATTTGCAATCTGCTCCTCTGTCTTCAATTTTCTCTAGCCATCAAAGACTTCCTTTTGAATTCACTCAAATAACAACTCTTCTACATAGGTAATACTAGAACCAAAACTAAGCTTATAAGGGTTCGTAAGAAAAACAATCTACCAGCTTCATATTAAAAAAAATAAATCCAAAAAGCTTTGATGGCTAGAGATCAAACAAGCATGAATATAAGGTAACTAGAGATATTTCGATTGAACTTACTAGGAACTGGAGAGTGGACAAGCGGAGCTGCTGTCTGGCTGTGTGAAGTTGGGATTTTTAGGGTTCCATTGATTGTTTTTACTGATTTTAAATATCCGAAATGGCACCCACATAGAAACGGGTTTTCTTCCTCGGGCCAATAAAAATCGGATTTTTGAGGCTCAGAATTTTGATTTGAGATATGGGCTTTCGGCCTTTAAAACAAATGTACGACTTTTTGACCAATGGATTTATACTTTATTCTTTTTCTCAAAAAGCTTTATTTCTTTAGCACTTTCTAGAAAGTCTTCCATAAATATGAAATTGACCATGTAACTTTTATTTTTAATTTTTAAAAAACATGGAAGCAATATTTAGATTAATTATAAGATTTTGAGAAAAATTATAAATACAATAATAAAAATAAAAATTTATTAAATCAGAGTTATATTTTTTTATATTTATTTTCTGACCTCACAACATTTATATTAATTATGATTTTTTTAATTGAGTTGGGAGAAGATAATTTTTTATTTAATAGGTGTGTGTATAAAACAAATCTGGTAGGGATGAATCAAAGAATAATAAACAAATAGTAAAAACTAATAATATCTCCAACTCCAGTTTTTTTTTTTTAAAAAAAAAAGATTGGGTTTTAGCTAACTTTGTTTTGAGGACAATCAAACCAGGGTGGCATTGAATATTAATTAGATCATATGAAATTACTATTCCCACCAAGTATTGTTGATAATATTTTAAAAAAAATCTTATAAACTTTTAAGAATTTAATAAAATTTATTGGTCTGGATTGTGTTAAGCTTTTACCAGCATCATGATTATTAAAATTAAAAAGTAAACAAATAAATCAATAATATTTATTAGTAAATAAATGTTAATTATACACCCCTTTGTCATTTTAAAATGGGAGCAAAAGTAGCCGTTAGCAACGTTATTTTGAGGATGGATTAGACCGTTGGGGGACAAAAAGATCCGTTACCCTAAGCCCTAAGGTCTTCCAGTTTTGTTCTCTCAACCTCAAAGACAGAACTAAGTGAGGGAGTACAAAGCAAAAAAGAAGCGATCACTTCAAGAGGGACACACAAAATTTGTAACTGACCCATCTTTGAAGTCTCTGGTTCAATGGGAATTTAGAGGGAGAGCTTTGAGACCCACTTCGGAGTTGTTTTTTGTTACTTACTTTTGTGTGATTTGTTAGCCAATCATGGTTGCAAGAACCCCACCAAAGCAGAGGAAGATGGTGGTTCCTCTCGACCCAGTTTTAATCAGAGAAACTTTAAAGAAGGTACATATTTCTTAGCTCAAAATATCGAACAAACCCACCGATCTCTCTCCCTTTTGTTTTTGCCTGAGAAAAATGGTGAGGAAGAAAGAAAATCTTCAAATTCGGGTCTTTGATTTTCTATAAGTTTGACTTTTGTGTCTTCAGATTTGGACCATTTGCTTGAATCCATTTGATTATAGGAAATTTTTCTGACTTTCAGTCATTTTCAGTCCTAAAGTTCGTTTTTTTTTCCTAGCGACCAAGTACAACTTTTTTTATTATGTATGTTTCTGTTACACTAGAATAATGGGTTTGCTTTGTAAATTCTGTGAAGGTGGACAGATGCATGGCTAGATTGCAAGAGCTTCAGTACACAGCGGCAGGTGGGAATAAGGTGATAGCTGGGGTTAGTCTCAGTCCTAGAAGTACCAGGGGGTATCTAAGAACTAGTCTTAGGTGCAAGCAAGAATCTTTAAGGTAAATTAGAAATTGGGCTGTGATAAAAATTTGAACTTTTGATGTTCCTTGACTATCTCTATGGAGATTTGCTAAAAATTTTGTATTGTGTTTTTACCAATTTGAAGGATCAAGAATGGTGCTCCTAAGAAATCTCCAGTGGGCAAGCTGCCAGCAACTTCAATAGGTATCTCTCTTTCTCGTTTGATTTCAATTATTAACAAGGCCTTTCTTTTCTTGGTTGTTGATAAATGAGAATCTGCTATTGAAAATTTGAAGAACCGAACAGTCATTGATCGAATAATTTAAATGACTTGAACGTTTAATGCAGGAGAATGGAGGCGAATGTCATTGCCAGCAATGCTAGTGGGTGAGACAATGGGAGAGATTCTACAGGCAAGCCAATTTGCGAGAGAAATTGTGGCAGCTGTTTGTTGCAAAACCAAGAAACTCACACTTGAAGACCCCAAAACTCCATTGACCCAACAGAGAAAACAAAGGCCTCACCACCCTGAAGACACTGAACTCAAATCCAAAAGGAAGAAGGAAAAGCAAACTAAACTGCAGTCAATTCGATCAGAATTCGGCTCTCCAACTCTTCAAAGAGCTCGATCACGAATTAACTTCAAGGTTTCACCTCCAAAGAAGAGAGAAATGGATAAAGAAAATGCTCGGTATTTGGCGAATAGAGTTTCTCCTAGGAATAGGCCATGGGTTAAAAAGACAGTATTGTTTCCAAACCCTCTGTTCCTTTCTACAGATTCTACACAGCAGCAGAAGTTTTGCAAGACAAGGTCTCCAGTGATTGCAAGAAACAAAAAGCAGACAACCCCACATAAGTTCTTGATCAAGTCCCCTCCATCAGGTTCAAAATTTCAAGTAAAGATCAAGAACCCACCAGTTCTTTCTCTCTCACCTACAAGACCTACAAACTTGAGCAAGAAATCACCAAAGTCGTCAACTGCATCGAAATTTCGTCGATCATTTTCGCCTTCAAGGTTGGCCCACAAATTGATGTCCCCATTGAAAGGCAGAAAAATTGTGCAAAAGAGTGATGTGCTAATGAGTGGACTGAAACAGCGTCCAATAGCACCTAGACGGTTCTCACTGGGGAGAATTTGAGTTGTGTTTTCCTTTGGTTTGTTGATTTGTTTGCTGATCGAGATACTTTATCACTGTCCATAGTTGATTCTTTTACATTCCCAACAAGTTTGAATTGTTGGTTAACATTGTTGATTCTTGAGGAATTTGATCATGGATTCTCGTTGTATAATAAAAACTGCTTCCTTGGCTTTCAATGTTACGAATTCTTTACATTTTAGCTCAGTTTCTGTTGAGCTAATAATACCTTTGTTCTTCAGAGCAGGGTCGACTCAACAGAAACTGAGGATTTGGACTAGCTTAGAGGAGACTATATCTTCCTAGTAATCCGAAAATGGCAAGGAGCCACGGATTTTTCCCGCCCTGGACTGCCAAGCAAATACGCAGAAAGTTCTTTCCAAGAAAGAACAATCATTAACAGATAAGGGCCATTTATCTAGTGTGCGCACCAAATGGTTATGAAAAGAATACCAAGGATAAGAATAAAAATTGACTATTATCACAATGCATGTTAAGATAAGGATTGAAATAGCACGTTGAAAAGAGAGATTTATTTTATTTTTTTTAATTAAAAGAAGTTTTATTTTTTAATTATATTAAAACATGAAAAAAAGGTGACGTTGTCTCTCACGAAGGAATAAAACAAAGGTTCTATCGCCAAAAGCAATTCCGCCAGGCTTTAGGGCTTCTTTAGAAATGTAATATAGATTTTTTTTTTTATATAGTATTTTTTATGTAAAAATATATTAAAAGATTATTTTAAAAAAATTATTTTTTATATCAATATATTAAAATAATAAAAAACAGAAAAAATAATTTGAAATTAAAAAATATTAAAAAAAAAAAAACAGTTAAATGGCAATGATAAACTCTACCTTAATAAAAGAAAAGATTCCAAAGACAGAGGCATGTGGAAACAAGTTGGCAACGGGGCTCAGAATGTGTACCCGGACGCGGTTTCGTTTTCTCTTCTCTGTAGAAATCTTGTGTAAGGCGGCCATTCTAGGCCTCTAAGCAGGGAGGGAGCGCCTGTCTTTTCACTTCTTCAACTTCAACTTCTCTAGATATTACTATCCTGTTTTTCTTCTACTTTGCTGATAGCTTGTATACAGTTCTGTTAGGATAAATCCCTAAGTCGCCATTAGGGACATAGTAAGCCGCCTGTTATGTACAATTTATATTTATAAGAAATAGAACCGATGTTATTCATGTAGATCATCGTTCTTCTTACACTGGAGTTACACTGAAAGATGAACATGAGTTTCTGAAGGTATCCTTTTTCCCCGTGTGAAAAGATTCATCAATAAGGTCTGCTAGGTAATCAAGAATGAGCATAGGCAGCATTAGCTTGTAGGAAGCTGTAAGAAGCTAAGAGCTGGACCCAGGTGAAAAGTAGCAGATGGTAAAGCCGTTGTTGCCAGGAGGGTGTTAGAACTCGGTAGTCCAGTAAAAATACCCAACTGCAGCCAACTGCTGTAGTTAACCAATTAAAACCCGCACCTAAAATCCAAAAGAAAGCCCAGAACCCTGAATTGTTGGATCCAAACAATCCAGCTGAGCTAAGGATTATTAGCAGACGAGCCGATGCAATGAAGATCCCGTTAGAATCAAGCATCAACTGGATCAAACTAAATTCCACCAATGAGGAGGATGAAAGAGCTGTATCCCTTCGTCCGGAGGAAAAGGAAGCTCGAGAAAATCAGACTTATGATCTAGGTTATCTGGAGAAACCTAGGTTTGCCCTTACAGGAAATTAAGACAATTAAGGAACTGAAGTTCTCTAATAAATCAGATCTTTCACAGGAGCAAATAGAAGCGCTTCAGGAAACTTGGAATCACATCCGAGCAGGGACCCTTGATCCTGAACCAGTCAGGAAATTAGAGAAAATCATTTGTGATTATATTTTTATTTGACAAGCGGTCAACTAGAGTGAAGGGACTAAATCACGGGTTTTTCAAACATAAAAGACTAACCGATAATAAGGATCAAAATCCAGGGACTAAGGGATAGTATACTCTAATTCTAAGTTTACTTGTCACTCACATATTGATAGAGATAGATCATTCACCTGATAAGGACTGCTTCATTTTGAAAGAAACACAGACGGGAAACCACTCTGCACATGCATGGGTAGATTCCATCCCAGATAGAATTGCAGTTGTCAAATGCATGAAGCTTCATAAATAATGAAATGTTGCAAGATCAAGATTCAAAAGAGCTACACACGAAAGCTAGAAGAAAAAAAAAAGAGCTACACACGAAACCTAGAAGAATGTGGACAAAAATTTCAGACGCTTATGAATACTCAGTATGATTTTTTGTACATTGATGTTACAAACCTGAGAGACATGTATAATTCTCTCCACCCCTCCTCAAAAACTAGGAGAAACAAATATGATAACACTTCCGCTCCTTTTTCTATACGGTACAACATAACAAACGCCATTCAGGCTGAACAATGAGAAAATTGCTGCAATATCCACACATATCGGGCAAACCATCCACACTGGGCCACATTCTTACCAATCCTGATGACACTCCAAGCCTTGCATTCATTTGCCTGGAGATGCAAATCTTGTCCGCTCTCGCTGCCGACCTGATGCTCGATCCCTTGGAGATGATGTTTTACTTCCTGAGCCTGCATGGCGTATCATCTCTGCAAACATAGTTTTCAGAGTTATGCAATAATATCTAAAATCATTGATGTCATGAGTGATTGCAAAATCTACCATGTTTTTTCTATTGGTTTGGAAGAGGGGGGGCAATATAATCAGTTGTACTTTATCTCCAACAAGATAACAAGATGATTTAATGTGTATCTTGCCTTTCCACACTAGCTTTTAGACAGCATAGAAAACACTTGATAAGCTAATCCAAACAGTTGATGGATGATGAAAATTCAGGCAGTGGTGACTGCAGTGCTGATGATTTTCCAAACAGTATCACTTGCAAGTACGTACATGAAACGGTAAAAGCATTGGAGTTGACAAATGTGGGAACACTGTTAATTAATTGATATTTAAATAGATGGGGAACAAGAAGAAAACTACACCTCTCTTGCTCTCGAGCTCTTGGTCAAGCTCTTCTTTCCACTTCCTTTGTCTCACACTGTGAATAGTAAATCATCATAGTTCAGATTATTTCACACCTGGAAGAGAATCACGGAAGCTCTAAGGATGCAATCTATGGGCTAACCTTGGATAAACTGTTTCTGGTTGATCATCAAGTGGAAGCCCTTTCCGATCATTGCTCCAAGGGGGTGAATTGTCCTCGGAAGCTTGATCGCTTGCATTGCCAACATTAGATGCACGTTTATTGCTCCCAGGACTTCTGGTGCTAACAGCATCAGTTGATGTAGATGGGCTTCCAACAGGGACTTGACTGGGTGACCTGCTTTTAGGAGGTAATTTCAAGTAATTTGGAGGAGTTTCATCACGTGAACTTCCACCAAAACTTGGAGAGCTTGGCGCATTCAAATTGTTGTAGAACTCTTCATATAAAGGTGTTTGCAGTTTCCTCAGTTCCAAAGCCTGAGAAATCAAATTGAAGCTAAATATTATGATGCAGTGAATCCAGATCTAAAACAGCACAAGGAAATGGCTAATCTTCAATATTAAAGATAAGCAGCAGAACCTTTTCAGCAAGAAAAGCTCTAATTTTTGACTCAGTAAGTGCATCATTATCCTCAGAAAGCGATGCCCCACAGTAAGATGAAGCATTTTTGCCCCCCTGAACTGGTTGACCGGCGTCTGATTTTTTGCCTGCTTGTTCTAGTTTTGGATTCTCATCATATTTGCACCTCCAATCTCCAGAGAGCTCACATTTGGGATCAGAACTCTAAACAAGGCACAGTTTCCAATAAACTATATAACTTTGAAGCTGTTGAATGATTAAAAAGCTACACCAGCAATGATAATGATGTCAAAGCAGTTGCTCACCTTATTGAAGTCATTAGAAGTCAACAGAGGACCGAGCTTTACTTCACTTACAGAAAAATCATTGTCAATCTGACACATGTCGTCATCACTGTTTTGTGTTTCCAATGCACCCTTACTTTCAGACAGTTTCTCAGGATCCATTGAGCAGTTCAGACTACCCGAATTACAGACATCCATTGTGTCATAGGCAGATGGCATTTGACTGGCAACAAAATTTTTATTACTTTTAGAAACATCTACAAGTAAAGCACGTACAATGTGTTAATACGGAAAGGTAAAATATAGAAAGGTACTTGCATGGTTTCAGGGTGAGTGGTATATGACTGCAAAGGAATTCCAGAAAGTTCCTGAAGGAAATAGTCTTCGATTAAAAACATGGAATGAGAGGATGCATGAAAATCAGAGTACAGAATCAGGTCCAACTATACCGACCATAACATGATCAGATATGCCAATCTCCCCAGTAACAAATGGATGCTGCATTTAATGACAGTTTGAAATGTTGTTAAATATTAACCATCAATAAAAAATCTGTATTAGAACAAAAAATATGCCACTACCTACAATGTGCTCAAATAAACAAAAGGCTAAGAACATTAAAATCACCTGCAGCAATTTAGATGCCTCTGGCCTCATATCTGGTTCCCTGCATTAGAAATTACATGTGCCAACCATGTTCAGGAGGAAAACGAAATTAGTGGGCTTACTAATTGTATCTGAGGGTTGAACGTTAAACTTAATTATTTGGAAGTAAGAATGCAACCTATAATTTTTTTTGATAGGATTTGAACTTATAAACTACCACAGCACTACCAAAGTATTTCAAATTAAGGGAGTTAAACCCCATAGGATGAAGCATCTAAGCCATTGTAATTTGCATATTGATATTGTTCAAAGAAGAAGAGAAAAGGAAACTTACTTGTGCAAGCACTTGAGCAGAAAATCTTTGGCCTCTGGAATGAGATGATTGGGGATTTCTGGATGAGACTTTGTCGACCCTATATAAAAGAGTGCCGCAACCTAACAGAAATGTTGGTAATTACAATATATTGGAAAGCACCTCATGGAATACTGTGTGTCTGCACGCGAGCACTTGTTCAAAAGCTAGAAAATTAGGTACCTCTTGATATTGTTGGCTCCAAGGAGGCTTTCCAGTGGCCATCTCAATGACTGTGCATCCAACACTCCATATATCAGCAGAGCTAGGGAATTGTTTTATAGAATATCAGTAAGGTTCAGTTCTGTTAATTTAAGCGATGAAGAAAAAACTGCCACTTTGATCATGTCACTTATAGATGAAGAAGCAATTAGATACATTATGCACAGACCAGAAAATACTAAAGTAAAATTCAAATACCATGACTTCATTTAAATTCTCCAAAGCTCCCATATAAACCATGTAAGTTTTTGTGTATGGCACACATGGCTGAAAAATTAGCTATACAAGCTTCTGTATGAAACGGATCACAGAGATCAAGAACATAAGATCTGCAACTACATCTTTTAAAATTTAAGCCACACTATTTAATGTCAAATAGAACTTATTTTATGGCAACATGGAAGGCAATTCCAAGACAATTTTGTTGGACCTTCTAATTTGAATTAAACCCCAGGAAGCCTCGGGATTCTTTTATTTTAAAAAACATCTGTCTTCTTCTATGGTGATAGCCATGTATGGCACTTTGCCTTCCTAGTCACACCTTTCTTCATGCCTCATTTTTTCCCAGTCCTTATAACTCACACTACTTATTTTCTGTTTCTCATGTAGTAGAATGGACACGAGAAATAAATGGTACTTAGTTGTCCTTACAAGCTATGTCCCGTCTGCAGAATGACTTCAGGAGCCATCCAGTATGGTGTGCCCTTCATAGATTTGGCCCCTGAAACAGTAGCCTGCAGTGACAAGGGTCACACATATCAGAAGTGATATTTAGAAATACTTCCTACAGCATAGAGAACAAGGTAGGTGTAGTATGCAGCAGGCCAGACATGTGCATACCAACTCCACGACCTGTTTTGATGCACCAAAATCTGCAAGTTTGATGCATCCTTTATTATCTACAAGAATGTTTGCCCCCTGGGAGAAGATGAAGAAGACATGTCATTGTTCATAAATAAAAATGAGAAAAAGGCTAAAGACCTTTCCTCACATGTATCAGGGGAAGGAAATTAAAAATTCAAAGCTACCTTAATGTCCCTGTGCATAATTCCATTGTTGTGTAAATACTCCAACCCCAGCAATAATTGCTTGGTGTAGGTTCTTATAACCTGTTCAAGTTAGCACACATGATTCGCCCTGAGTCACCTGATATGAACAAGCTCAATTGGCAAAGAGTCAAAGACTTACTGGCTCAGGGAAGGGTCCAAATTTCCCCAAAAGAGATGATATTGATCCGCCTGGGACAAATTCAAGCAGAATATTTATGGTTTCCTCCTCCTGAACTACACCCAAATATCTCTGAGGATAAGAATAACTTGCAAAGTCAGAACTATGGTAGACTTCATCAATTCAAATGATAAACAGAAGATCAGTCTCAATACTCACAACAATGTTGGGATGGGAGAGATTCTGTAGAAGCCTCACTTCTTCCTCAAGCTCTCTGATGTGAGCCTACTTATAGCAACAATCAAGTGAATTCAGATAATAATTTCTAAAATCAACGTTGAGAGAAAGCCTATTACAATAACTACCATAATTACAACGTTTCTGCATGATTCTGGAATTATGAACTTCATATTATAGATGACTGACTCAGAATCTTTAGGTTCCCAAGTGCATGAAAATTGGCCAAATTAAAGCTCCCTCACTCAGGTAGGCAAGACATCATATTATATGCTGGTTGATGTAATTTTCTGGTTTTCAGAAACCTAGCAAACACGTTAATTCTTCATAGCCAAAGAAAACAGCATAAGACAGGAAAACAATCCTTCAGTATACAAAGAAGAGGAGATAATCCTCTCCCCTTGTTCCTGATACAACTTAAAGCTAACCACTTGTGTGCTAATCTTAAATACTGCCATGCTAAAGAAATAATATCGTTCATGAGGAGGATCATGCATCAAATAGATTCCATTCTTCAGAGAATTTAAAATAATCAAAATGAGCCACATACGAGTAATTGTTTTAGATTCATACCTGAGCTTTCTCTCTTGTAGCTCCATTAGCTGCAATAGAAACCTAAGAAAAAACAAAGCAAAAAAGCATCAGATTTACACCCAAACCAACATTTTTTATAACTGCAAGAAGACTCTCGGAAGTGAAATGAACATAAACACAGAGACTAACAGCAACAATCAAAATACTGCATAGGTAACAGACTCCATCCCAACTGTAAATCACTCACTACCCAATTAAGAAATATGAAAAACCAGGCCCAGAATTATGAAACAAATACTAAAAATCAAAATCAGTGAGAAAGAGCATCAAACTTGAAAGTCTCCAAAACCCAATTCAGCATCAAACCCCAACCCATAGCCCAAAAAATCATACCTTAAATCTTAAATCAACAAGACCCATTTAAAATTCGGTCCCCAAAACCCAAAATTCAACAAAAACACACTTAAAAGATCAAGAACTCAAAAACCTACACTAAAAACCAAAAACTATCCAAAACCCATTTCTAGAAACACACTGAAAACTCAAAATAAACAAAAACCAGATAGAATCAAGAGAAAAGCAACCTGCTTTATTGCTAAAAGCTCTCCGGAATCAAAGTTCATGCCCATATAAACATGCCCAAATGCACCACAACCAATCAACTCCCCTTTACGGTACCGGATCGGAGGAGGCATTGGAGGTGAAGATGATGAAGTGGATTTGCTAAAGATCCTTGATTTACGAACGCAAGAATTGAACTTGTCAACTAATGTTGAAGTTAATGGATTAATTGAACTGCAGTAATTACTTTCTTGATTGGGATTATCAGGATCTTGATGATCTTGAGGGGGTGTACGGAATGCTAATGATCTCCTAAAGAAGTCTTGCATTATGACATAAAGAGAGACAGAGAGAAAGAGAGTGTGACTGATGGAGTTAATGGAGGGTGTTTCTTTCCATCCATGAGGGGGGGATGGGGGAGGAGGGAAAAGTTGGGGGAGATTTGTGATTTGAAAAATAAGAAAATGACATGGATTTAGTATAAAGAGATTTTTAAAAAAGCAAAATACATTTTGCATCCTATAATTTTGTAAATTTACAATTACCTGCTATAATTTAAAAACATTATCATTCATATCTTGAGTTAACAAAAAAATCTTAAATCTAACAAAATAAACAAATTCACTTTTATATATATATAATCAAAAATACCCAATAAATAATAAATATTAGATAAATTTTCTATTTTCAAACACTTGAAAAACATCAAAGTCTTGTTTTGAGGATGTTGAAAATGTAATGAAAGGTGTTTAGTAATACTAGTAATGACATAAATTGATGATGATAAAGTACATATTTAGAATTGTGTTAATAATTATTTTTTGTTTAGAAATATATTAAAAAATAATTTTATTATTATTAAAAAAATAATTTTAATATCAATATATTAAAATAATTTAAAAATATAAAAAAATTATTTTAAATAAAAAATAATTTTTAATTTTTTTGCTAACATGATACTCTCATAGCGTGCATTTATCATATTTAAGAAATAACTTTTGGAACTGATTTTTTTTTTTTTGTGGTAGAAGAACATTCTTCAATTTATGGGAGATGTGTTGATAGGAATTATAAAATTAAAGTTGCATTGAGACAAACTGTTTAATGAAATACTAAGTTTCAATTCTTTTCTAATTTTTAGAAAAGTTGTAATATTAATTTGATGGAAAAGTTTTAATATTAGTATTGCAAGAGATTTTTAGTTATTAAATAAAAAATAATGATAATTTTATAAATAATTAAATATTTTTTATTGATTTTTTTTTTAATGAAGATCTTAAGTATTAGCTCGTGTACAAAGTTTAATATATAAATAATAATTTTTCAAAATATATCAAATAATTATAATATAAACCAAACTACAAGATGTAAAGGATAATTGTTTTTTTCTTTAAATATCAATTTAATATCTAACATATAACAAGTTTATCAAATTCATATTAAATTAAAACTTTTTTTATATATTTATTAGACTAAACTTGAAGTTTGAATCTATTCACATTCTGCATCTTGAGTTTGTCAATCAATACAATTTATTTTAAAACAACATCTTTATAGATTAAAAAAAAAAGTTGAATTTTGCATCGAGAGTCTTGGCCTAGCGGTGGAAGGGACTTGTTTTGTTCCATTACATCTGGGTTCGAGTCTTCATGTGCATGTCTGTCACCCTCGCGGTGCCTTACATACCTATTGGGTTTGCAGGGTGTTCAGTAGGTAATGGGATTAGTCGTGGTGCGCACAAGCTGGTTCGGACATCTATGTAAATAAAAAAAAAAAACTGAATTTTTATAAAAATTAGAAAGATATTCTTTAAACTTAACCCGAACAAGTTTCCTGCAAGTTTGACTTAATTAATTAAATAGCAGGTTAATGTCTTAGGTAATTCAAATTTTACCAGGCCAACATCCACTCTAATTCAAAAGAAAACTTGACCCAGAGCCTCCCTTCAAATTTTAAACGCTTGACTTTATAATTTGCACATCGATATATTTCCTTCGCGCAAAATATGATCAGCAACAGGCACCTGCAAATTTCTCCCTTTAAATTCCGCTTTTAAACATACCTTTATCTTGCTTTTTTGATGTTCTGCACTCACAACTACAATAGAAGCTTTGGCTTGGTTACATCTACAATAGAAGCTTGAGGCTTGATTATCCATTTTTAGCTATTTTATTTACCAATCTTTTTTTCCTAGAAATAATAATATTTTTTGTTTGTGTCTGGAAAGACTGATTTTTTATGACAAATGACAAGTTCGAACTCCTTCAGCCACTAATGAAAGTCACTTGGTGACTTGGATGCATTGAGAATTATTACATCATGCATTGGGCTGCATTGGGAATATCTTTGTCTCTTTACCATTTTTGTATAATTTTATTTTTTTTGGAATCAGCTAAACTTGATCAAGATCCAGTAGGGTTACCATTATTTTTTTAATAAAAAAATATGTTTTTTAATAAGAATAATTGTACATTAACTGGATAACTCAATGAGATAAGTTATTTTCCGAGACAATTCTCGAATACATATGATAATTATAATTCTATGTCTTATTTAATAACAGATTGCTATTTCGGGTTGCGCCTCAGCACAGGACATATACACTAGATCAGGTTTCTATGGTTGAGCTTGTCAAAATCTTAGTACTTCTGAGCACTTTTGATTATATAATCAGAAACAACACAGCACTGCATGCTACAAGAATATATATAGCAATTAATTTAATCTAATCGATGAGATGGTATTGTCTAGGGTCTTTGACACTAATCTTCCAATGACCATCCGGCAAGTTTGCATTCTTAGCTTTGCCTCTCCATTTCTTTATTCTTGCATCCATATGCTTCGTGAGTCCACAATATTGCTGCAATTTCTTTGGCATGGCATCATAAACCCTCCACCACCTCTTGTGAGCCGAGTCACTAGCAAAAATATGGCGATTCGCCATGTCCCAATTACAATCATAATCTTTATAGCATGCCCATGGCTTTAACCCCAGGAAATGGATTGTGTAGGTGCCCTTCTCCATTTCATGATTTGGGTTGTCTTTTCTCTTGAAAATCTTGAGATAATTCAGTTTTACGGGCAACCGATGCCACCATGTAAAGACCTCGTTAAGAAAACCTTGATCACCTCCATTGTATGACATCAACCTCCTACTCTTTGACATCATGTCTTCGAACAAGCACGTTGATGGCTCAATCACCATGATCCCCGAGTTGAATAACACCTTGTCATTTGGAGCTGCTGACAATTGCGGGTAAGCAAAGAATTTTTCGATGTTTTTGAGGATTATAAGATCAGCATCTATGAAAATGACCTTGTCATAATCTGTGAGTTGCCAGAGTCTGAGTTTGCTATAGTTCCATTCATTGTAAGCGTTTTTCCGAGCAAAGGGGCTTCGGATAGGCTGTATCTGCTTTGTCTTCCATCCGGCATCTCTGAGACCCTGTAGAGACTTCTGACTTAACGATGAGTCGTGGAGGAGGACTAGGTCGTTAGTAGAGTTGTTCTGTATTATACTTTGAGCCAGTGCAATTGCTCCACAGACATAAGCTTCGGAGGAATGGAGGACTGTTGCATAGGCAACCCTTTGATGATACAATTTGTGGTCATTGAGTTTTCTTCTTGTTGAATATTCTGCCATTTTATATCTCTGAATTTCTCTGTTACCTGCATTTAACCCCAAAAACAAATCAAATTATATATATATATATAAACAAATTCAAGAATTTTAATTATTAGTTTAGCTTGATTTAATATGTCATGGGAGTATTTAATTGGGTTAATGGTGTAATGAAGTGTTGATTATTGCCTAAATATCACAGAAAATCTTAGATTAATGTTTCAGAAATAACTATCGATAATCACCAAATGGAGATATAGAATTTATATATAAATTAAGAGTTAATTTCATGTTAATTACTTTCTTTAAGTAAACATTTGGACTTTTAGGAACAACATCAAGTGATGTCATATATTAGAAAGATTAACTGATACACAAGAGGGACAATTATTATACATGTCGTCATCGATAAGATTATAATTAGGTGGTTTAATTAACAAAATAATTAGAAAAATAAACTAAGACTGCCTGCTGTTAGCTTAATGGACCCAATCTCTTCTCAAATACGCAAAGTGACAGCTTAAAATATCATTTTCCAACCTCTTAATACGATGGCCGTGAAAGGGTCACGGATTCTGGCTGCTTGACAACACACCAATATCCAATTTTATAATGCCACGAACTCATCATAAGGTTGCTGCCTATCTGTATCCTTTAATTTAATTAGAGGTTACCAAACTAATCAATGTATTTTACATGGTTTAATTGAGCTAATGGCAATAAAAACACAGCTTAACTTTCTTGCCATGCTTGAAGAGATTTATTTTGATGAGATATATAATGGTTAAAAAATAGATATATATTACTCTTGTATAATTATTTTGGGTTTATATCATTATTAAAAATGAAATGCATAAATTATGTTGTTGACAAAATTTCTATTTATTTTAATTCATTTGCAGATTGATAAAAATATTCTATGTGAATTTAGTAAATTTTGATTTTATACTCTTGTAGAAGAGAATATTGCTGTGCTACCTCACCAATTTATCAAGAGGGACTTAATTTTTCTAGTTTTTTTTTATATATACAATATTATTGCTAATTGAGAATTCCAATTGACATTTTCATGAACATAGAGAAAAAATATATATATAATTTGGTGGGTCATGAGGATATATATATATATATTAGTAATCTCTTTATTTTATATTTTGTTGATGTCATCAACGTACATATAATTTTCTCCTAACACAAATAAAATAAAATAAAATCATGTCAATGAACAAAAACGTACCTGTCTCTCTGTGAAGAGGAGCAATCTGGCATGACCCGACAGGCATTTGCACCTTCTGCCTGAGTCTCCTCAACTCCGGCTTGTACACCCAATACTCACCTAAATGAGTCATCAAATCATCACACCTGAATATCTCTTGCATGGGTCCACAAGACCCTATGAAAATAACAGACACCGTCCGATCATCACCACCCTCGGTCAATCCATTGGCCACCACAAGGTTAGCCACCACCAGGTTCACTTGCAACCTAAACACATCCCTAATCCCTTGCTTTTCCATTCCACTACCACAAGGAACCCTAGCCACAATAACGTCTAGGTCACGGTAATCCTCTAGCTTAGGCATCGGGACCTCTGGGCATGATGGTTCGTGCCACCTCGCGTCTTCATCAATCCACTCCGGGAAGAAATTCTCCCATTTTAACTCCTTGGATACAGGCCTGAAATCCACGTTAACAGTCTCGACTTCTCCATGCATATGATCATATGCATGTTTGACATTTTCATCAACGTTGACAAAACCAATCTTGATTCTTTGGCTAAAGATTTTCCTCTCAATAAGATCATCGAACAATGATTTTTGGGTGTTGATCGACAAAGGTTTTTTATGGTGATGGACTACTGTTTGGCGGTGATCATCAAAATCATGTTCTGGTTTTGGCTGGAAAGAGAAGACTAGAAACGTCAGGGATACAGAGAGGAGTATGAGAGAAGAAATGAAGAGTTTTTGACATGAATGCTTAGAGGAGGCCATTTTGATTGACCTAATCACATACAATGTTTGTGTTTATATAGTCAAGGCTTTGAAGAATATTATTATATTCATCTCCAAATCAAATGAGTTTGGTGAGAAAGGGTGCATGGCTTAACGTTTCTCTGTTGTAAATATTGTCTTCGTCTTAGAATATTAATGTAATTACACTTGCTCCTATTAATTACGATGCCTTGGAAGTAGCTTGGATACGTGTGTGTGTGTATTGATGTTGCTTTGTTAACGCTTGATTTTGATATGGGAGGAGTAAAAGTATTTTTTGAAATTTGCTAAAATTGGCCTTGTTCTTTTATTGCAATAAATTATATACATATTTAGTTGTTTGGTTGGCTGGTCATGCTCTCATATATATATATATATAATTGTTAGATTCGGCTCGAGATACATTCAAAAAACAAAAAAATAATCTTGGTAATTGGATCGTTGAGTTAACTTGAATTATATTTTTATTTACAATTATGTCAATTTAAAAAACAATACACATGAATGGATTTAATTATGTTAATGTTAAAATCAATTTCAATTAAAGTCGACTCATGTTAGCTTATGGGTTTTATAGGCTATTCTATCGAGTCGTGCTAATAAAAAAAATAATGTATGAAATTACTTTTGACATAATTTAATAAATCATCTTGTGAACAAAGATTTTATAGATCCATATCCCTTGCTTAACTTATAATTATATAAAAAAATATAGCATCTCAATGTGAAAATTGATTATATCGAAGCTAAATCGAACAATAAACCGAGCCATGCATGCTTCCTTGAAATCTCTATAATAAATCTAGTAAAAACGGATTATTAAAAAATAAATTTGACAAAAAAAATTATATATAGATATATTTACATGATCATATAAATTTCTTCAATGATATTTATTATGATATTTTTTTAAAAAAAAATGAAAGCTCATGTTGTTTTTTTAGCAAAGAAAAAAATAAATAAAAATTATTTTTAAAAATTATTTTTAAAATATAAAAACAAACAAATTCTAAGAATCACATTTTATTATAATCTAGATTATACACACACGAGCCATGCATGATTCATCAATAATACTCTTTTTTTATTATTAAAATAATTATTAAAAAAAAGTCACTAAAAATAGTTGTGTTTCATATCATGAGTTCTCTATTTTTGTTATGTATATATAGTTCACCTTTGATCAAAATGATGAAAAAAGAGAATGTTGGTTTCATACGTATGAACTAACCAAAGGATGTATAATTAACACTGAATTAGAACATTAAGGGACTTAGAAATCTCTAAAGAGTGTTTATGAATCATAAAATTGGAGAATAGACCTTGATTTGTCATGTTATTACTCATTGTTCGCAGTTTATCAGTTCATTAAAGGAAGTTCAGTTTTCTTTTTATTCATTATCGATATTACATTGCAATTTCGTAACACTAATAATTGTTATCAGCGCCATGGAAGTCCTGGGTCTGGGTCCAAGGCAGTAGTCATAACCATCGCAACTCCTCGCTTTCATTACTGTCCTTTTAGTACGTAGACATTGATAGTATTCAAAAACCTGTTTCTGCTTCTCTACTGTGTAGAAAAAATATCATTTTCGGTGCCATTTTTTCTACTTTTGCCGCTATAGGGTTGTATTTTTACATGATATAGAAAGTGTTATTCGTTGAAGAATGGTTAAACAACTATATACGGCTCTTGTAAGCTCATTGTTCGACTTAGAAAAAAGTACTATGTGCAGTACATTTAATTTTAAAAAAGACTGATTAAAGCTAATGTCATGTTTCCTAGCGTATGGTGCCGGTAAAGGATTTGGGTTTTGGAGTTCTTTGGTAGGTAGATTACCATGATTTTATCTTCTTAATTTAAAATGATACTGTTTAATTTTTTAATAAAAAATAATTCCTTAATTTTGATCTTATTCTGATTCAAACCCGTTAGATGATACAAGTTCGATGAATACATATTAAAATCGGTTCAAATTGTTATCCAATTTGTATTAAACTCTAAATCATTTGCAAGTTTGCTAGATTAATTTATAATATATATATATATATATGAGTTTTTTAAAGTTATTATTGATGCACATGTATTCAAAGAAATTCCAATAATAGCTAGAAATTAAGGAAGGAACATAGAAAAAAAACAAATGATGAACATGTTACCTATGACTAGGAGAAGATTGTCATCATGCATAGTTTGGTTTCATGGCAATTTAATTAATCACTCATCAATTTTCTACGAATTATTCCATCAGTTGAGTCTGTGTTTTTATATAATAATTCAGCTGTAATACCATGGTGTCTTCATTGACCCGTTACTTGTGGATATTCCTTCTTCTTCTTCTTCTTTCCTCCCCCATGGTTTGGTTATTCGAGGGTGGTGCGTAAAATTGTTCATACTTGAACGTGAGACTTTAAGAGTTATCCAAGAACAAATCAAAGCAAAAAATCGTGATGTATATATATTATAATGTTTTTTGTTCTTCTTGAGAACGATATTATTATCTTTTTAATAATGTTTTAAAAACCATCATTTAGATGGTCCAATCGTTTGACATTTTGAATGTTATAGGCGTGGAAGTCTGAAATTGGTCCTCTCCTCTATCTTACCTTTTCAAATCAACAAGGGGCCGGGGAGGGTCAATCTCTTGATAATGAAGGTGTTTGATCACTGAATTTTACAAATCACATTGCTATATATAAAACTATAGTATATAATTTCAAAAGGAATAATGTTTTTTTTTTATGATATTGTTATGCTTTTTTTTAATACAAAGGGTAGACAGACTTAAGATAAAACAACATGTTCTTTAACTTATATTTATTTGGTACAATTTGATCATATTAAACATCGAAATCAAGGTTTAAAATACCTTTTTATTTTTTCTCTTATGATTGATTGAAAACATAACATTTTCAATGAGTCAATAATTAATGAATTCTATCCTTACGTCCCAAATCAACCCCACAAGAGCCACCCCAACATCCTTGTTAAAGAATAGCAATTAATTAATGCGCCTTAATGATGACAAATTGAAGAGATTTATGTATGATTAATTGGAAACATGGAGAATTAGGTCTGAATCATGATTGAACAATTAAATTAAATTTTCTTATATAAATTGTGATCTCTGAAGCTTGGATTCAGCTTCGAAGATGGAGGTTAAAAAACAATAACCTGGAAGGGGGCGCAATTACTTATTTTTTTTCCAAGAAATGCGATGATGAGGTAATTATTTATATTGAAGTATATATATATATATATATATATATATATATATATATATATATATTGGTGACGCATCTCTATCGAGAGAAAGAAAGACCACACATGAAATGATCAATTGGAAGCCAAATCTCTAAAGATGACCCCATTCTTTTAGTGCTGGAGGATTGTTAGAGATAAGACAAGTGATGGGAAGGTTGACATACACAAATATATACATATATCATCAAGAAATTAACAGTTCAACACCAGGTGTGTGTGTGTGTGTTCATGCTCTATTATTAGCCAAAGAAATCATTACTCGATATATATATATGCATGCAATAAATGGATGGATGCGATTATGACAAGAACTCATCACTGGTCTTTTAGAGAAAAAAAACAGAAACTTGTAATTAATATCGATATTTGCCTCTGTAATCAGAAGCAAAGGCTTACGTTTGAAACCACATGAGTGCTTAATTATTAGTCTTTCTTTCCATGAACATGCATGGGTCTTAGCTCAGCCCAGAAAAAGAAGAAGGAAAAATAAAACATATATTTATAATAGGATAAATTTTCTAAATTTCAAAGAGAAAAATGTTCTATTAGAAATCCTGTTCAACTGAGTACGTACTTTCATCTAAAAATATTCATAAATTCGTATTGTACACCGTGAGATCTTCTCATTTAAACATGTTTTATGCAGAAAATTAATAGGTGTTTTAAAGGGACATTAAACATTAACGATTATAGATGAGAGTATAGTTATGCAAACCCAATTCTGCTCAATGGATTAACCAACAGCCTTGAGATCTAGACTGTACATTTTCAATTAAAAAACTCAAGATTTCGAGGATTCAATTAGAAAAAAAAATGTTTGGAGATACAATAAAAAATAATAGAAATTATATATTAAAAACTCATTTAATAATTTAAATTTTTAGGTTGAGATAGTTTTTTAATTAAATTTTATTATTTTTATTTATTTAATAAAAATTAAGTATAAAGTAATATGAATTTGTGTAAATTTCAAGTTTAAAAGGTTTTTATTTGAAGAGATATATTAAAAAATAATATAAATTATATATTAGAGTCTTATTTAATAATTTAAATTATTAGATTGAGATAGTTCTTTGACATTAAAAATTAACATGTGGGGATAAAAACACCCTAAATTTAGAAGATAATCTAACAAGTATTATTAGATGCAAAGGGTTTTATAACTCTAAATCATCTTTATATCTAATTAAGTGGTTTTTATTTATTCATTTATTTAAGATATGCAGGTAATGACATCCTGCTACAACTCGTATTGGATTTTATGTTGTCCCCAGCTGTTGAGGTGTCAATTTCTCCTATGGAAACGAAATATAGTGCTAATAAATAAATAAATAAACGGATTAGGCCACCATGAATTAATTCAGAGAATCTCAACATTCTAATTATGTTGAAGGCCAATAATGCATCTTTGATGATATAGTCAACAATTGATTGATTAATTAGGATCCCAAGTTGGTGCTTCGAAAACTATATGTAACTACAAATTAATTGAAGCAGATTTAATGTATCCAGGTCTTGATATGTTCATGGATTGGACAGAACAGGTTGGATAACTACAATATTCTATCCTCAAATCAAATATTATGGCACTGCTTAGAAAATTCCTCGTTCCATTTTTAAAGATTATTGAACTCTCTGGTCCATACAACAACTGTTCTTGCTTTGTCCACATCTGCTCCTGCAATGCCATTCAACCTGTGTCCAGCACCAGAAATTGATTCCTAGGAGCCAATCTTGAACTTAAGCGATTCCATTGGTGTTCAAGTTGCAATTCTGT